CTGTGTCTAAGGCTGTAAATGGCCAGGGAAGGAGACTGCCCATCCTGCTCTGTTGGAGCCGATGGTGGTACTGGCTAAAGACTATACTACCAGACCTCCCAAGCGATGCATGCAGCTAAACCACTCAAGCTTACATTTGCTGCCACGCTCTTTTTGTGGTGCCTTTGTTTAGTGACTGTTAATTTTTTTCATGCATGGATCAATGGTAGTAAAATGATATACTTCTTCCTTTTCTACTGTATTACTTTGGGAAGATAGGTTTGGTGTGTTTTTGTTTTTGTAATTCATTTCTTTAGAAACAACATTTTGTGACAGATTGAATGCAGAAGTAGTTATCAGAATCCAGCTGTCTTATATCAAGCTAGACATTAAAAAAGATTTCTAAAAAATAATAATGCTTCTCTTTCTACTAAATTTACTTTCTAGTAAGAAAAATAATAATTCTTCATGAAAATATGTCATTTATGTTTACAGGTATTGGGTTATTATTTTTTAAAAATAATATCTATTTAAAAATCTCTCCTTTTAAGTTTCTAGTGTGGTAAATATTGGTAGATATAACCCACGTAAATGAAAGTTCTTTGAGTTTCTCAGTATTTTTTTTATATGAAAGGATCTTGAGATTTAAAAAAAATTAGAACTGCTACTCTAAGGATTTAATATATGTTTTAAAACAGTTCACATTTTAATTAGAGAAAATATTGTACTGCTTCATGTAGAATGTAGAAATTTACAATCATGCAAGTCTGTTATAACACCCTCCCCAATCTTTTATGCTGTAAGCATACTCTATCTTCAAGAAAGCACTGTACCCTGTGAGTGTCCATTGCCCGTGTTGTTCCCTGGGCTTAGCTGGCTCTGAGCTTGCACTTTTCAGCTGCCTGTGGGCAGACAGCTCTTGACTCTGCTGCCCTCGGTTGTGTAGTCCTTTTCTTTTTCTCTGACCGTCAAAATTCAGCTCTAGGAATCCGTCCACGTGTCTGATCTGATGCCTGATGCATGTTTCTTCCTCCTCATCATCACAGTTTCATAGTAAACAAACAAAAATGCAGCTTTTCTGCATTTCTTGGGTAATTCAGAAGGGAGAGGCACTTACTTTTCCATCTTTCCTCCCCCTTTTTAAAAAAAAAAATGTATTTTATACTGGTTTACATACAAAGTTTGTAAAGTTGATGTACATTGTTTTCCACACCGGACCTTTCCCCTTTCCTTTACCAATACCTCCCTCCAACCATCTTAAAAGAGATGCCTGATGTTATTTTGTTAAGCACATGGCATTCTCTTCCTCATCTAACTTAGGTTTATTAGAAACCAGCTCTGTGTTGCGTAGGGAGCTCCTGTAACATAGGGCACAGGGAGTTGTGCTGCTAGGGGTAGCCTGGATCCACCAGCAGTTCTGGGGGAGAAAGATATGGGATCTGCTATCTGTCTATCTATTTATTATCTATCTATCATCTATCTATCTATCATCTATCTATCTATCTATCTATCTATCTATCTATCTATCTATCTATCTATCTCATCAACTATCTATATCTATCTATCTATCTATCTATCTATCTATCTATCTATCTATCTATCTATCATCTATTTATCTATCATCTATCATCTATCTCTCTCAGTGGTAGTTTTGCTGCAGACCAACAAGTAACATCTTCAGTTCCTTGAGCCCACCAGTGGCTCTGCAGGACGAAGATGAGCAGTCTCCTCTTATTGTGTCTTCCTGTTGTTGTTAGGTGTCACCGAGTCAAATACAACCCATAGTGACCATATGAACAACAGACACTACAAACCCTGTCCTCCCTGCCTGTGCCATCCTCACACTTCCTGACACACTAGAGCCCATTTACGTTGCCAATGCATCAATCTACCTCATCGAAGGTCTCTCTCTCCTTCTCCAGCCTCTCTCTTTCTGAGCATCATGTCCCTCTCCAAGGGATAGTCCCTCCTAGCAATATGCTTGAAGTATGAGAGGCAAAGCTTTATCATCTTTGCCTCCAAGAAGCACTCTCACTGCACTTTCTCCAAGACATATTTGTTTATATTTTTGGCAGGCCATGGGATGTTCAGTACTCTTCTCTAGCATCACAGATCAGAGGCAACAATTCTTCTGCCATCCTTATTTACTGTCCAGCTCTCAGATGCATAACAAGTGATTGGAAAGACCATGGCCTGAATCAGACGCATCTTAGTCCTCAAACTGACATCATTACTCCTCAATAATTTGGAGAGGTCCCTAAATGCAGATTTTCCCCAGTATGAGATGTCGCCTGATTTCTGGCTGCTTGTATCAAGGATGTTAATTATGCATCCAAGTAAGATGAAGTTGTTGACAGTTTCAGTCTTTTCTCCATCTATGATGTTGCCTATTGTTTTCTTGATGTTGAGATGCAATCCGTATTGAAAGCTGTATTCTTCGATCTTCTGCAACCAGTGCTATAAGTCCTCCTCACTTTCAGCAAGCAAGGTTGTGTTATTAGCAAAGCATAGGTTACTGATGAGTGTCCCTCTGATCTTGACACCATATTCTTCTTCATAGAGTCCAGTTTCTTGAATAATTTGCTCAGCATATAGATTAAATACAAATGGAGAGAGAATACAACCATGACACACTCCCTTCTTAACTTTAAGCCATGTAGTGTTCCCTTACTTTATTCGCACAATAGCCTCTTGTTCTAGGTTTAGGTTTTGCATGAGCACTACACAGTCAAATGCATTTGTATAGTCAATAAAGGACAAATGCACATTCTTCTAGTATTCTCTACTTTCAGCCAGGATCCATTTGGCATCAGCAATGATATCCCTGGTGCTAGAGCCTCTTTTAAATCCTGCTTGAACTTCTTTATCTATGTACTGGTCAAGCCATTTTTAAATGATCTTCAGCAGTATTTTGCTTGCATATAATATTAATGATACTGTTTTAAAGTTTCCACATTCAGTTGGATCATCTTTCTTGGGAATGGGAACAAATATAGGTCTCTTCCAATCCGTTGGCCAGACAGCTGTCCTCCAAATTTCCTGTCATGGAATGCAGCCAAGGCTGTATCTGCTAATTGAAACAAGTCAATTGATATCTCAACAATTCCTAGGGCCTTATTTTTTTGCCAATGCCTTCAATGTAGCTTCCACTTCCTCCTTCATTCCCATTAGCTCCTGTTCATAGCATACTTCTGAAATTCTTCAATGTCATTCAGTTCTTTTTGGTATAATGATTCTGTGTATTCCCTCCATTTTCTTTTCATGCTTTCTGGGTTATTCAATATCTTGCCCATAGCATCTTTCAGTACTGTAACTAGAGGCTTAAATTTGGTTTTCATTTCTCTCAGCTTGGGACATTTAGAGCAAGTTTTTCCCTTTTAATTTTTCATTCCAGTTACCTGCACATTCCATTATGATACTTTTGTTTTGTCTTCTCAAGCTGCCCTTTGAAATCTTCTGTTCAGCTCTTTTACTTTGATTATATGTTTCCCCTTTGTTTTGGCTAAAAATTTGTTTTTCTCTCTTCTGTCTTTGTAATGACCTTTTACTCTCTTCATGAATTATATCCTTGATATCATCCTACAACTAATCTTGTCTTCAATAGTTGGTGTTCAATGGTTCAAACCTATTCTTAAGATGATTTTTAAATTCAGATGGAATAGATTTAAAAAAATTTTTTGGCTCTTGTGGACTTATTTTACTTTTCTTCAGCCTTAATTTGAATTTGCACATGAGTAATTGATGGTCTGACCCACAGTCTGATGTTATCCTAGTTGTGACTGCTGATATTGTGACTTGGGGCCTTGCAAACCCATTGGAGGGTCACGGGCAGTAAGTCCTGTATTTACAAACTAGCGTTAGAATAGTTCTATGTAGAACAGATCATTAGGATTTTATGAAAAAGAATGTGGCATCAGGATTAGAGAAGACTCATCAACAACCTGTATTATGCAGATGACATAGCCTTCCTTGCTAAAACGGAAGAGGACATGAAGTGTTTGCTGCAGAAGGTCAGGACTGCAGCCTTCAATACAGATTGAAGCTCAACATCAAGAAAACAAAGATCTTTACTACAATGCCAATTGAATTTGTTAATGATTTCATCTTGCTCAGATCCACAACCAACACTCTTGGCACCAGCAGTCAGGAAATCAAAAGACAAGTTGCCTTAGGAAAATCTCTCCAGAGTGCTAAAGAGCATTGATGTCAGTCTGGAAACTAAGGTGTGGCTGATACAGGCCATGGTCTTCACAATGACTTTCTATGCTTTAGAGAGCTGGACAGTAACTAAGAATGATAAAAAAAGAATTAATGCCTTTGGGTTGTGCTAGAGAAAGGTATTGATTTATTCTAGAAAGGAAGGTTGCTACGTGGTGAAACAGGTTGCTACTTGGATACAAGGATTTTGAAACTTTATCTCATATACTTTGAGCATGTTGCCAGGAGGGACCATTTCTTAGAGAAGGACATCATGCTTGGAAGGCTAGAGGGTCAGTGCAGAAGAGGAAGACCCTGGATAAGATGGATTGACATGATGACTGTAGCAATGAGGTCAAGTGAGTCAGAGATGTTGAGGTTGGTTCAGGATAGGACAAGGTTCAGAGCCGTTGTTCATAGAATCACTGTAAGTTATAGTCAACTCAAAGGCACATAACAACATGACTGAAGAGAACAGAGCTTCCAGAAAAAAAATTCGTGCTTCCAGGAATAACTATCCCCAAGTTTGAATCCAGGGAAATCAGACCTTGGCCACCCTATCCAGATCCTAGCACTCGAGCTCCGGTGCCACTGTTATGTCCAGCAACAGCCAGAGGGCAGGGCAGATGTCCCCGGAGCCCCTGTACTGTGGCATCGCTGGCACAGTGTGCAGGGGAAGGCTCTCTCCACTTCTGCACTCTGCAGGGGTTAGAGAGGCAGCTCTCAGGGACGACTTACTGCTCGAACTCCTTAGCAGAGCCACAACATAGCTGAGGGGAATAGAAAACCGACAGTCAACAAGATCCCTGTCCTTTCTCTCCCAGCTTCTCTGAGAACCCCGAGATACAGGTGTTTCTGTTTGTGTTCTACAGAGGCACCTCAGGACTGGGACCAGGCCGTCCTCCATGCCTTCCGGTCACCGTGCTGACCTGGGGCCTGCAGACCCCCAGCCTGTCAAAGAGTTCACAGACCAGCAGCCGCTCAGAGGTGCTCTCTGGTGTTTAATGAATAAATAGCTCAAGAAAGCACACATTTGTAATCTGCGTAGGACATGTCTCTGCAGCAAGTTTTGGGAGGGCAGGGCAGGCTGTGTCTTGCTGTGACCCGGCCTTGACCCTGGTGGGGAGAAGCAGCCTTTCTCACCTGGCTGCGTGCCCTCCGGCTGCCAGATGAGAAGAGGTGTCCTCTCACATTCCACATGTGTTCATTATTAAGGCCTGGCAGGTGCTGGCAGGAGATAACTGGTGGAGGCCCGAGGCTCCTGGGCAGGGATTCCTGGCGCTGCCTCTGGCAAAACTTTCTCTTTCTCAGCTTACTGGGTGTGTGCATTTGGGCAGAAATGATTTCCTACTTAAGTGAGATCCAGGTGCAACTTCCCTGCCATTCAGGAGCCCTGCCTCAACTTTTGAGATGCTTTATCCCCAGGACAACAGAGGCAAGACCAAGCCGTTGTGGTGTCTCCAGGCTGGGAGACAGACTTGGGCTCAGACAAGCATAGTCCTGGTGTGAGCATCTAGAGGCAAATTCCACTATCTCTGTGTCCTCTGTCTGTGGAGAAGATGGCACAGGATAAGGCAGGAGCCAGTTGGATGTTCACAGCTCACTGTAAGCTGTACTCAACTTTAGGCCATATAACAATGAACAATTGAGGCCAGACCTCTTCCATTGGCTCAGCAGGATATGCAAACTGATCCTGTTGTCATCACCTATTACCCTAGCTCTTCCACCTCCTCCTCCCTCCAGGCAACAGAAATGACTGGGGGAGAGGGGTATAAAGGGAGAGTCTTTGAAGTCAAGGACTGTGGGAGGAACATATTTGAAAGGAAAGATTATGCCTTACCCACCCCTAGATGAAGTGGGGCATGAGACCCCAAGAAAACCACTTACAGTGTTTAAGGATAACTGACCCCCATTTTCCTATTTGATGTCTGTCAATTCCACAGGCTCTGCCCATCAACCTGTGTAGGGCAGGGAGGAAGGTAACTGGCCAGGAAGGGAAAGAGGTTGTCAGTAATCATCATTTGTGGCGATTTCCTGTAGGTCAGGCAGCCACCGTAACAGGGTAGGATGTTCGAGCTGCCTAGCCATCACTCTACCTAAAAGGCTAGGGAGCATCTCAAGGCTGAGGGGATAGCCAGAAAGCAGATAAGACTGCAGAAGTATCAGAGAAGGGAGAGGGTGCAGAAAATGTGGACACCCAATCTAGTCCTTCCGGTGATGCCTTGGAGGCAGCGTGCCATTGTCAGGAGATCCTGAAACAACTCTGGCATCTGTTACCAACTTGATATTTTATCCTAGGGCCTTCTGACTCACCCCTTTACCTTTCAATTTGATTTTGCTTTTTGCTTTGATTTTTGTCCTCCTCCTTTCTAACTAAGCAAATGTAGACACTTGCTTTCTTTCTATAAAAACGTGAGGCTGCAACATTAGAGTCAAACTTAGCCACTTCCTGTCCAGTCTCTGTGGAACAGGCCACAGGAAGGCTTGGTTACAGACTTTTGTTAGTTAGTAAAATAGTTAGCCACATATTCTGTTTTAGTTACCTGGTGCTATTGTAACAAATAGTGCCAGAAAGTGAATGGTAAATCAGAAATTTTTTTTTTTTTACAATTCTGGAAGTTAAAAGTCCCAAATCAAGGTGTTGATTTCTTCAGTGGCCTGCCTGCTAGTTCCTGGCTGTTTGCCAGCCATCCTTGGCTTTCTTTGTAGATGGATACTCAAGTGCTCTCCATGTGTGTGTGTGTGTGTGTGTGTGTGTGTGTGCCCAGACTACTCTTTAAAATTTTATTTTTATTTTATTCATTTGCATCATGCTTGAAAGAGTGGAGGAACAGCACAGGACAGGAAGACATAGATGAGATGGATTGACAAAGTAACTAGGGTAGTGAAAGTAGATGTGTCACAAACAGTGAGACTGGCTCAGGATAGGGCAGGATTCAAAGCTTTAGTGCATAGGATCGCTAAGAGTCGTAGTTGACATGACAGCACCTAACAACAACATGGAACTCCTCTGTTAGTTTTTTTGGGAAACACCAAACTGCCTTCCAGAGTGGTTGTACTGTTTTACAATCCCACCAGGAGTGCATGAGAGTTACAATCTCTCCATTTCCTCTTCGACATTTATTGTTTGCTGTCCTGTTAATCTTTGCCATTGCTACTGGGGTAAGATGGTATCACATTGTGATTTTGATTTGCATTTCTTATTTCCAGTGATTCTGAGCATTTCTTCATTCATGTGTTTGTTGGTCGTCCAAATGTCTTTCGTTATGAAAAGTCTTCCCATGTCTTTTGTTTGCTTTGTGATTGGGTTATTGGTCTTTTTCTTGTGGAGGCCCTACAGGATTCTGTAAACTTTTAATAGGAGACCCTTGCCTGAAATGTTATTGCCAAATGTTCCCACCCCCCTATTCTGTAGGTTTTCTTTATACTGTTCTTTTGATAAGATCTCACTCAGGAGTTATTAGTTTTATGAGCCAATGAACTCTGATATGATTCATTAGCATAACAAAAGTAAACTATTTCCAAACAGGATCATATTTACAAGATACTGAGATTGTTAACAACTTTAGTTTGCTTGGTTCCACAGTCAACACTCTTGGTACTAGCAGCCAGGAAATCAAGAGCCCAATTGCATTGGGAAAGTCAGCTGTCAGGGACATCTCCAGAATACGGAAGAGCAAAGATGTCAGTCTGGAGACTAAGGTATGCCTCATCCAGGCCATAGTCTTTACAATTGCTTGCTATGCATCAGAGAGATGGACAATGAATAGGGATGATAGAAAGAGAATTGATGCCTTTGAACTGTGGTACTGAAGAAGAGTGTTGAATATACCATAGACTGCTAGGAGAACAAACAGGTTTGTCCTGGAGAGGGTGAAACCAGAATACTCCTTGGAGGCAAGGATTCTAAGGCTTTGTCTGACTACTTTGAGCATGTTGCAGGAAGGACTAGTCCTTGGAGAGGGATAACATGCTTAGAATGGTGGAGGAACAGAGAAAGGCAGAGACCATAGATGAGATGGATTGATACAATGACTGGGGTAATGAGAGTAGGTATGTCAGAGACAGTAAAGTTGGCACAGGATAGAGCAGGTTTCAGGGCTATTGTACAAAGGGTCTCTGTGAGTTGCAAGTGACTTGACGACACATAACAACGGCAACAATAAATTTCTGTCTTCCCCCCATTTAATCATTCATATACTTTTGTATAAGAATGTGAACTACAGGGGAGCTCTGGTGGCCTAGTGGCAAGAAGCTGCACTGCAATCCCAAAGAAATGTGGTTCGAATCCACCAGATGCTCTGCCGGAGACGGAGGGGCCATCTCCTCCTGTACCAGTCAGATCCAATTTGACGGTACACAAATAGAGAAAATAATAAAATAAAATTTTTTTTAAAAAAAGAATGTGAATTACAATATTCACAATGTAATTACACTTTCCCCATGTCCTCTCTGAATGTGTTTCATTAATCCTCTATCTTACCCCTTTCTTCCTTTAGGATGGTACCCCTGGGAAAATACTGTTCTTTAGACCTTATATTGTTGGTTATTCTACAGATTTAAGTGCTTCCCCAGTATTACTGGTCAACTTACAGTCCTGTCTAGTTAAAAGGTGGGGATGAGTTTTATTTAACTTTGAACCTGGACAAAACTCACAGGGGTGAGTACCACTGTCTAGGGAGCTTCACCACACAATTCAATCCATAGCACATCTTGTTATTGTTAAGTGATATCAAGTCAATGATGACTCACAGCCTGTGAACAATAGATCTGAACCTTGCCCTATTCTGCCCATCCTCATTATCTCAGTTATGTTTCCTAAGTAAGCTATTATGTGGCACACCTACCAAGACCGTCTGAAAGAATTCCATTTTTATAACGTTGTTGTTATGTACTGTTGTGTTGGAACTGATCCATAGTTGACCCTCCAACAGGTTTTCAGAGGCAGTTAATCGCATGGGAGAAGATTGCCCATCCTTCTCCTGTGATTTTTATAATGGTGCCCTAAAATTTCTGCCAAGAGTTGAGGCCAGACCTCTCCCTTGGTGCTTTACAAGAAATATATAAGATGTTGACTTCTGCCACCATCCCTTACCTCAATACAAAGTGACCTAACATTTCCACTTTATCTGTAAGGTACATTTAGGTTAGGCTTATTTATTAGTTCATTGAGATCAAGACATTGAATTAAAGCCTTTCCATACTTGAGTGGGTTAGCAAACAAGTAAGCAAAATACCTCTCAAAGTACAAATGTGAGGATTACGATTGAAAAGAAAGTGTACAAACCCATGAAGGATGTCTTATGGGTAAGGCACATGTGTTCACAAGTAACCAAAGTCCAGGATGCTGAAATGTGAAACATGGAAGATTTACATGTAGGGAGAAAGGAAAAGGGAAAGTATCCTTTAGGGAAGTGTGTTGCTGGTGAAGATTTTATTACCTGTAAATCTGAGTTTTGGTTTTAGATGTGAGTCTTGGGACAGGAGCACCCTTTCTTGATCCACTTCCTTGGTCACAAAAAGGGACCATTCACTGCTCATCATGGTTGCTGTGATGATTGACACAGGAGATATTTGACAGGAAAGTGGGAAGCACTTCTAAGTTCCTCCTCTACTTTTTCTTGCTGATGATTTTTGCTGTTATTGCTATTTCTAGTAAAAAATAAATCGACCTTTTTTTCAACGCCATTGAGTCAGAACCAGCTCATACATAGATTATCCTTTGTTGGGTTCTAAGACTGTAAATTCCAAGAGAGGTGATTTCCCATCTTTCTCCTGAATGCTGGTGGACACTAACTACCAGAGCGGCATGACCTTTGGTTTAGCTGCACAGCTCCCCGTGAACTATGCCATCAGAGCTCCCTTTTCTATTTTTTATTTTAGTAAATAGTAGGTTTATTGTAGCCATATTAAGAAGTTGAATACCAGCAGAGACAGGAAGTTCAGACATGCCCTGAAGTTGAGGATGTTTGAAAGCAATCCTACAT